GCGCGACAGGTGAGTGAGCAAACCAGTTACAATTCACTTAACACTTCACGTGTTCGATAAATTTAACGTATTCATTAACTTGAATTGACCTCAGATATGAATGCGAGCACGAACTCAATTCGAAAGTTCGTTCTGATTGACCTATAGTTAGTAAAATTCTTCCAATTTCCGCGTGTGAATGATTTGTCGATGCATTGCACAGTGGGCCTAAAACTAACAAACATATACTTTTTTTTTCACCAAAATTAAACATTTACATGAAACCAAAATATATTTAAAGCCAGGCATTTCTTGCTCTATCTATGATATGCCAACTTCAGCTTAAGATAGCTTCAATCAAAACATAAATATTTTATTTGTTAATTTTTTATTTAATTTTAAACATAAATATATATTCGCATTTGAATAACTTTTAGCTACTATGCTTGAGTAGTGAGTCAATGGGAAAGTCTCTCGGGCTAGATTTGTTTCGGCCTTCTAGCTGAGACCTTTCACGAGTTTTAACTTTTATTTTTTTTGCCAATGGCATTAATTACAACATTATAAGGTTTAGCTGTGTTAGTTGGCGTGTCAAGGTCGACATTATTATAATTTTTGTTGTTGTTTAACTTCGGCTCAGCGCTCACCTGTACATTGTTCTTGAGCAATTCAGTGTGGTATTACCTTGAAATTATCAGAGAAACGTTTCTAATCTGGGCTTATTTGATTTTGAATGATGATTTATTGTCTTTTACAGTAATATCTTACGGCATAAGGTTTCTATAAGCCATTATTTTTATAATGTGTTTATATGTATTACAATATGTCTGTACTTCCCGATGAAATGGCATGACTTAAGAGCTACGCCCAGTGGGGACAGTCGAAGTCAAAGACAGAGTCCACAGTTCTAGAACTTGAACTTGAACCACATTTTTGTCAAGTGAATTGCAGTGCTTATATATATACATATATTGTAGTGGCCATATACTGGGCGTGCCACATTTGTTTCTATAATATTTAGATGCATATGACAGAATTTATTACTTTTCTTATTATTCGATACAGAGACCTGAAACATATATGCTTATAGATCCGCATCACATCAAAAATAATAAATAGCACATTAATTTCAATTGGGCGAATTGGGAAAATGTTATTTTGATGACAGTTTTAGAGTTGGGATTTCCAAGACTTGCAGTTGGAAAATATTAAGTAAAAATTATGATAATGAATTTATACATTCCTTTTTAATTAGAATAAAACTACTTAAAATACAGTTTTCAAATGTCAAGGATATATCTGTAAAAACTATATATCTTAAGTAGTCTTAAATCAAGTTGAGCAGCAATATTATCGGTTAAGAACTCTGAAATATTTTGAGAACTTTCCAAGTTATTCTATGATTGGGATTCGAACTCTTGTTGATATATTGAAATGTTCTATGTGGAGTCTATGTATCCTTTAGAAGAAAAACGGTGTTAATCGCATTTCGACTTGTGAATAGGCTAAGACTCAGCACCCTTTCATTGTACAGTTATTGATTTTATGGCCACTGGCAACAAGTTGTGAGTGAGCAGCAGTGAGTTGGGAGTTTGGGTGGTTGAGTGGTTGGTGGCTCGAAAGTGAAATTTAATGTAATTTCGCACTTTGTGAAGCTCTCTGAATGGCGTCTAATAAGATGAGACTAATGCAATTGTTGTTCCGTTTTGCAGGCGTGTGCTGCCCGAGGTGAAGCCTGGCTATTTGCAGCCATTGATTCCTGATGCAGCACCAGAGAAGCCGGAGGATTGGCAGGACGTGATGAAGGATATTGAGCGAGTCATCATGCCCGGCGTGACCCACTGGCACAGTCCCAAGTTCCATGCCTATTTTCCCACAGCCAACTCATATCCAGCCATCGTCGCGGACATGCTGAGCGGAGCAATTGCCTGCATTGGATTCACTTGGATAGCTAGTCCGGCCTGTACGGAGCTGGAGGTGGTTATGCTCGATTGGCTGGGCAAAATGTTGGATTTGCCAGCTGAGTTTTTGGCTTGTTCCGGCGGAAAAGGTGGCGGCGTCATTCAAGGAACGGCCAGCGAATCGACTTTGGTAGCTCTACTGGGCGCTAAGGCCAAGAAGTTACAACAGGTGAAGAAAGAGCATCCCGAGTGGGATGAGCACACAATCATTGGCAAGCTGGTAGGCTATTCCTCGGCCCAGGCCCACTCTTCTGTGGAGCGCGCTGGTCTCTTGGGCGGCGTCAAACTGCGTTCAGTTCCTGCTGATGAACACAATCGTCTGCGTGGCGATGCTTTGGAGAAGGCAATTGAAGAGGATTTGGCTGCTGGCCTGATACCCTTCTATGCTGTTGTCACATTGGGCACGACTAACTCATGTGCCTTCGATCGACTGGATGAGTGCGGTCTTGTGGCCAACAAGCACAATGTTTGGGTTCATGTGGATGCGGCTTATGCTGGCTCCGCTTTCATCTGCCCCGAGTATCGTCATCACATGAAGGGCATCGAGCTGGCCGACTCGTTCAACTTCAATCCCCACAAATGGATGCTGGTGAACTTTGACTGCTCGGCCATGTGGCTGAAGGATCCCAGCTGGGTGGTAAACGCTTTCAATGTTGATCCACTGTACCTAAAGCATGACATGCAAGGCTCCGCACCTGACTATCGCCACTGGCAAATCCCACTGGGTCGTCGTTTCCGCGCCCTCAAGCTCTGGTTTGTGCTGCGTCTTTACGGTGTCGAGAATCTGCAGGCACACATCAGACGTCATTGTGGCTTTGCCCAGCAGTTCGGTGATCTCTGCCAGAAGGACGAGCGCTTTGAGCTGGCTGCTGAAGTGAACATGGGCTTGGTTTGCTTCCGGCTAAAGGGCAGCAACGAGCGTAACGAAGCCTTGCTCAAGCGGATCAATGGACGTGGCAACATTCATATGGTGCCCGCTAAAATACGCGACGTTTACTTCTTACGCATGGCCGTCTGCTCACGTTTCACCCGATCCGAGGACATGGAGTACTCCTGGCAGGAGGTCAGCGCTGCAGCCGATGAAATGGAACTCTCTGAGGCAACCGACAAGCAGTAAAGAAACAGATTCAGCTCTAATTTCATCTAAAGTGACATGTTTAGGGAATTTAAGCATTGCTACTCATATATAATCCAAATGCTGCTTAATATATCTATATACTAAATATTGTTGAGTATTAGCAAAGTGTACCATCATATATCATTGTTATCGTTGTTGTTTTTAAACGCTACTCGTATTTAATAAATGTGCTTAATTAACTATTATTATATAACTAAGATACCAGATTCACCATTCATTTTGTCAATTTTGGGTCAAATTTTGAAGAATGCGCATTCAAATTACGCTTACGTATCAAGAGATTTACTATGTTATATATGCTGATTCAATGTTACGAGGGTACATATTTTAAATTGAATTGACGAGAGGAAAGAAATATGGATATTGCATCCAGCCAATATACATCGCTTTGCAAAGAATATAGTTAAAGAGCAAAAACATAAAGCTAAATCAACCAATTAGATGAGCCACTTTAAACCATTATATAACTATTCCCAATCCTTTTATCGCAAACTCTTTATGTGCAAACTTAATAATAGAACACAGATTTTTTATTATATATTGCCAATCATTGTAAATATTCCACATACAATTCTTATTCTTTGCTTTGAATTCTATTTGCCTTGATATTTTGGATGTTAGCTTTTTCAAGCTACCCGTAATACGATCTAATTCTATTATTAAACTTTGCATTCACTGGAAAAATAATGGTAACCAAAAAATTATACTAAGGCTCTTTATATAAATAAATAAATATTCTACATTATACAATTTGAATATCACAAAATACAACTAAAAGTTTTATTTTGAGCATCTTTAAAAAAATTACTGTATGAACCAAAATAAAAATACTACTATCGGCATCATTTTAATCGATTGTGCAAAGCTCCCATCCAAGAGCTGGCGATAGTCCATATCTAGCAAAAATGGTATCGAATCATTCGACTTTATGTAATTGTGGCGCGCTTTCGACAATTTTAAATTGCTTTACGGAGATTTCCCCTGGCAATAACCAAAATGGTAACTTAGATCATAAACTATTAATAAATGTTATCTGTATAATAATAGTCCGCGAAACTTAAATTTATTGCTTTGGGGTAATTTTTGTGTGAAACATACATTCTTGCAAAATATGTGAACAACTTTATGTAAATTGACGTTGTATGCATACACTGAGCCACAAAGAACCCTCGTTTTGTAGCACAAATTAATTTCATAAACCAAGGAACTGGTGCTGCGTCTTCTGTTCTAGGCTCAGAATGCTTCAGGGTCCCGGTCGAACGACAAGTAGCACTCAGTTGGCTAACGGTTGCCAGCGCAGCCACAGCTTAGTTGAACATCAAACACGTAATGTAAACTTACATAACGTGTAGCAAAAATTCAAATAAAAGCAGTTAAGTGCACAACTGTGAGTGTGTGTACTATTATGCGTGTGCCTCTTGGACATAATTATACAACTAATGTACTTTAAAACACATAATAATAACACTGTAGCAATGGCGCATAAACATTTCATGCTGAACAATATTTTTTTCAACAAAAACTTAGAGACAAGACACTTCTAAATTGGGAATGCTCTTGTGAAAGACTTCAGTCAAAAAAAACATATGGTAACATGTTATATCTTCCACAGATTTGAATCTACTACTCTGTCACGATTTGCAAATTATATTTTGGTCTTAATTCATTCCATTTTTAAAACCTTTTAACTTTAATTTAACTATAAGGAAAAATTGTGTTTAGGACTAAGTTTTTCTATGAACTAGTTAACTTTCATATAGTTCTTGCTCAATTAGTCGATGTTTGCTTCTTACACATCTAATCGCGTTTCACATAGTGTTTAGGAAAGATAAGCTTTTTGTATTTATTAAATGGTCTTAATTATATTTAATTAACTAGACTGGATTAACCATTAATTTTGACTAGTTTAGTCTCTAAAACGAGTTTTGTTTATGTTTGTTTAGACACTGTGCTTCATGTTGTAAAAGTCGATGATCCGCTGCGCCTCCCGTATGCCACTAGAACGTGCTCCGTCAATCGTTCCAAATCCATGCATTGCAGTGGCATCGCCTGCAAAGAGTAGCGTTGGGGCTGCATCGCCGAGAGGAGCTGCTAATGACTGCACATCGCGAACGCTGCTGTTGATAGAGAAGTAAGGCCGGCCGCCCAAAAAACAGGCGGAGCTATTCCAATTAGAACGTAGAATGGCCTGTGGATAGGGTACGTTCTGATTGCATAAGCAATTTCGCAATAAAGCCGTAAACTGCTCTAGCACCATCGCATCGGGTAATTTCTCAATCTCATCATAGTAGCCGCCACCGATACGTATTTCCAGAACATGCTTGCTGCTAGGTAGTTGGGTTACTTCCACAATCTGTCGAGTCCAACTGCGCTTTGGATTTGAATCGGTTGCTTCAATGTCAGCGGTTGGACTTGATTGCTTTAGTGGACATAATGGACGTAGATTCGACTTTAGCCACTGGCCAATGGGCTGCTTATATGAGAGATAGATTTTGACTGGATTGCCAAAACCCAGATTGTGTATGGCTTGAAGCTTGTCCAACGGCAGCATAGGCTTGAATAGGATACCAGAAAAGTTCTTTAGCACACCCAAAGGCAGCGTACAGATTATATGATCTGCACTATACAAACTGCCGTCTATGCAACCGACAAATTGAGAGTCTGACGGCGTCTTCCACTGTATCTGGCCAACAGGTTTGCCTGTCTGCAGCTGCTGTTTGTTTAAGTCATGGGTTAGCGCATTGACTGCATTGTCAAGGCCAGTGGGCACGTAAATCGGATTCGCTTCCTGATCCAATGGACATGTGGTGACATGTTGGATATTCACATATTCAAGACAGCAGCCCAATATGCTACTGAAGTCCTTAAACAGCGATTGAAATATCTCGCGAGCTATTGCCTGTTCGCCTGGCTTCTTAAAGGATGTAGCTATTAACATGTCGCTCTCCGATTGAAAATATGACATGACATTGTCCAAGGAGTGCAAATCGCCGCCACTTTTCACTTTATCGCGCACCTTGAAGCCGCGACACAAGTCTCGAAACAACGTGTCTATTAGTTCAACCATGCCAGTTGGCACTTTGCCCTGTTCATCTTGCGTACCCTCACCCACAGTATGTACATATCTCACGGGTGAGGGCTGCTTCAACTGCTTTGTCAGGCCTTCAGCATTACGCAATAGCTGGTACATGGAGTCGTGAGAGCCATTAATGTTAACCCATTTGGCTCCCAACTCACAATATGTATCGCCAAAGCGTTTAGAGTTAATGCGACCTCCACAGCGTTCCGTTGCTTCCAGGACGAGAGTACTTTGAAATCCATTCAATAGTAGATGTTTGGCCGCTGATAAGCCAGCTAGACCACCGCCAATTATGACAATCTGGGCATTCCGCTTAGCAGACTCCAGATTATGATTGAAGTCATGGTGGCTGCTGCCATTTTGTTGCAGCCCGGTGAGCTCTGCTTGGAGTGCCGCTGCATTGTATAAGCTGCGCCTGTTGGCTAGTTTATACATAACTAAAAAAAAGGAAAACATGGTTATGGATGGGCTTATAATATGCAACAGCAACAAATAGTCTAGTAAGTCAACTTACCATTTCAGATCAAAGTGTCCACAGGCCTGATCAGTTTTTGGTTGTTCTGCGGAAACAGTAAAATTTCGTTATGAGTGCGAGTGTTCTATGTTTTGAGTTTACAACTAAACTATCAAATTGAAACATTTCTCAAATACACTTTGCTATGCCACAACAAATTTATGATCTGATGAAGTGCTTGTTACGTTTCATTTGCTTACTAAGGCTTTGTTCACCGTACATTTAATAAGGGACTGTTTATTAAATATAAATAATAATATAGTTTATATAGTACATTTTAAAAAGAGTATTTTAAGTGCCATATTATATTTTCCTTAACGAAGTTAAACAGCTGCACACATTTTTCAACGCTGGCAACGCTGTTCAATAACATTCATTAATTTCAATGACAAATGCAATCGAATAAATATATCGATTTTAGCTGGAGACATTCGAGTTGAGGTAAAATTTAAAATGTTGGTTGCTAAAAATATGGAAAAAGAAAAATTATTTTTTAGTAATATACTATGAATAGTTTTATAATATAATAATAAGAATACTACTAATTTTATACTTACTGCAATAACTAGTTATTTAAATTTTAGCGAGTCTGGTAGCGCTGCGAACTCACATAACTTATATCGCAAATGCATATCGAATATTAATATCCATATTAATGCGACGTTTTAGCTGTGGTAAAATTTAAATTTATACATTCTTAGGAATTTTTCCTGTAATCATTTATTAAATCTAATATTTTTATTACAATGCCAACGCTGGGACCAGGCTAATTTAAATTATTTATTAATATTGTGTGCATATATGTATATATGTGGTATAAAGTATTTTGTATTCTTATTTTTAGCTAACGCTGCAGTGTTTCATTTGTTAGATGTAATCCACTTAAATGGTGTGTAAGTTCTGATAGTTCACCAGCCTTGCGGGAATTCACCTGTTGCTCTGCGCACAGCGATGTGAGCTGTGATTCGATTTCCGTCCAGGCAAATTCTATGTCCGAAGGTTTCGGGTCCATGCCGCATACAGCAAATCGCAAGAAAAGTTGCCCACAATGTTCCGCCTTGACCATGTAAATCTTCTTGCGCTCCATCAAGCGTTGCAGCAGCTGTGAAGTGATTTCATTATCACCCTTCGCCCGGAAGCATACCAGACCCAGAGCACGCGGAGCAATCAACTCGAAGCGTTCGTCTGCCTTCACCAGATCCTCGAACTGTTCAGCCAATCTGATGTGCTTGCGTATGTGAGCACGCAGCCCCTCAGCTCCAAGTGTGCGGAATGTGATCCACACCTTCAGAGCACGAAAACGACGACCCAATGGAATTTGCCAGTGGCGGAAATCTGGAATCTGCGTCTGGCCCTCGTGCTTGTGCTTTAGATAGATGCGATCCACGTTGAAACTGTCAATCACCTTGTTAGCATCGCGCAACCACATGGCAGCACAATCAAAGTTGACTAGCATAAATTTATGTAAATTAAAGTTAAGCGAGTCCACACGCTCCAAGCCGCGACGGAGCTCTGAGCACTCCTCCAAAGCAAAGGCGCCACCTGCATATGCAGCATCCACGTGCAGCCACACATCATTCTGCTCACAGATGGTGGCCAGAGATTCAATGTCATCGTAAGCACATGTGCCTGTGGTACCTAACGAAGCTATGCATATGACTGGTATAAGACCTGCTGCCACATCTTGCTCAATGGCATGCTTTAGTGCATCGCCACGCAGCACAAGATCTTCGCCAGCTGGCAGCAGCTTGATAGGCATGGCTGCCAAGACGCCCGCCTTCTCAATGCAACTGTTGCTCTGGTCCGATGAGTAGGCAATTAGTTTGCCCCTTATCTCACTCTCGCTCAGCTCTGGCTGACTGAGTCGCAGTCGTCGCACTGCCTGTTCTCTAGCGGCGAGCACAGCCACCAACACTGCCTCACTGGCAGAGCCTTGAATGACCCCACCACCAGGTCCCTCGTTCTCGTGCAGAAAATGCTGCGGCAGATTCAAAAACTTGGCTAGCCAATCCATGACAACGACTTCAAGTTCCGTGCAGGCCGGACTGCAGATCTGCAAGTGGGGAGGGAAAAATATGCTTAATCATTTCAGTAAATGCAGATAATTTTATAGAGATTGACCCAGTCCCCCGAAATGAATAAAAAAGTTTGTTTTGTTTGTTTGTTTGTTTGCGACTTTAACAACTCGTTTGTCAAGTTCTTTGTCGCTTTCACTTGCCGCATGCAGACAAAGGGCTGCCATTCAGCGTGATTGGACAATATGAGATTTCACCTGCACGTACCCAACTAAAGCCCATGATGCTGAAGCCACTGGCCAGCATCTCGCCCACAATGGAGGGATAGGATACACTGGTGGGGTAGTAGGCGTGCATATTTGGCGATTGCCAATGCGTGAGGCCGGGCTTGATCACACGATCGATGTCCTTTAACACTTCACTCCAAGTTTCAGGTGTCTCCGGCATTTGCTTGGGCAACAGATCCAGCAGATAGCCCGGTTCTACGGAGGGCAACACATCATGATCTCTGATGTTCTCCAAGTAATCGGCCACAAAGTCAACGGCCGCTTTGCCAAATTCGCGAAATGCTTGGGCATCCATTTTGCTATTAGGGTCACGTTTTGGATGTCAAATTTTCGCTGTAATGCTTAGTGCGTTTCTATTTGTACTTTTCGCGTATTGTGTGTGTGTGTGTTTGTTTGCCTTTTTGTTTTTTTGTTTACAAAGCTCGATACACCTTTACACCCTATGGCCAACACCAACACTTTTTGACGCTCTGCTCGCTACGAGGTTGAATTTAACTCTGTTAAAGCGCGCCTCTGCGAAATGCTTTTTATACTGCCCGACGAACCGATCGAGCGGTCGATTGTCCAGAAGTTGCCGCCCGATATCTGCTCATTTAGTACTCCACAACCGTGTGGCAGCGGCTCATCTAATTGTCTGCCAAACAAATTCAAATTCCGGCAACACTATTAAAGAATGCCTCTCCCTTTCTAATTATATTGACACTAAACCATAAAGAATAAATGCTGCTATATATGTATGTAGGTATATTAATACAAAAAATCAATAGTATCTCTATGAAAAAGTCGTTGACTAACCTACTTAGCTATGACAACAAAAATAGTCCAAAGCACACATCCGAAATAATTATGCTTTTCATAATGGAATTTGTAATTTATTTTTCACTTTTAACGGTCATTTTCAACTGTTCTCAATTGGTTTGGTGACTGATTCCAATTGGTCTTATTATTGTTCTCAACACTCTGGCCTTTGTTCTGCCATTTACTTTAAAGTATAATAAATTACACATGCAATTAGAATTTATTTTTTCAGCTCGAAAGTCATTTGCAGAAGCAAAACGTAAGCACTTAGTTGCGACTTATTGCCATTTGGTCAGAACTCTTCTCAGTTGATTTATTTCGTTTCTTAGCGACCGGTTGTCAACTGTTCCCAGCCACTCTTAGCTACGCTCAGAACCAACAAGTTTTTATTTGGTTGCTCTTCTGATATTTGCATTTTTGCATGTAAATAAATATATTTTACTGACAGTTTACATACATATAACAAATAAAGTAATTCTTAAAAATTTATATGGCTTTACTAAAAAAAGGTCTGATTTTCTTTACTAATCTCAAGCCCAGTTCGGCTTTGACATCTGTTCCCAGTTACAGTCTGTTCCCACATTCCCATTTACAATTGTTAGCTTTTCGTTCTCACTTTGTTGCATTTGTTAACAACTGTGCTCAACAGGTTTCTCTTTAGTTTACTTTCACAACGCTGCTCTTAATATTATCTCTTCCAAATAACAGAATGACACCTCATTGAGTAACACCTTAACTGCGTTATTTTTATATTTCTATATTGAAGTTAATGAATTTGAAATACCTGCGTATTTTATTGTAATAACTCAATAGCAGAGCTTCTGAATTCATGCAAATATGCATTCGCATACTATGGGAAGTTTCGAAACAACTTTAGTTGTAGATATACAATATTTAAGAATTTTTAAAGTTTATTTGTGAAATGTGCTTATCCTATTTTTACTACTCCACTATTTTTAATAAATGTATGCTTAAAATTTGGGTAAAATATTAAGTACTTAGAGCCTGTAGCGCTTATGTTGCAAAGCAAAATATCATATTTGATTGGTAGTTAGGATATGAATATTAGAATAGGATGAGTTATCAAAAGATAGAAGAAGGTTCTACTAGGAACGATATACAATAATATATATATTAATAATTTGAAGTCTATGGTCTTTATGGTTTCGTACGAACAGACCAATATTTTTGATTGCCATAGAGTTGCCTCTCCGCCTTTATAAATTTGCACAAAACCATTATACCCTATTTTCAATTTATACAAAGTTAAAGTTATGACAGTTTATTTTATTTTATTAACTTTTAATACTCTCTGACAAAGTGAAATGGTAATTTTGTTTTTTTTTTTTTTAATTCACTCGTGGTTTATGCTCAATATAAAGAGAGTCTGCAAATTTTTAAGTTATATAATTGTTGGAATTATTATATGTATATATCATCTCCATAAGAAACACAATTACAGGACTTTAGCTCGAATAAAATAGACAATATTCATCATTCACGGAGAACGTGAAGGGTTTTCTATCCTGATGACTCGCGTGTGTTTTCCATAGTTTTAGAGCTAAGAGCATAATTTGTATGCCCCAAATATTTAGTTTTAGTAATTGATTACATTAAGAGATTGTGGTTTTTAGTTATTAATATTATGCTTACTTTGCATTTCATTTTTTTATACGTCTTCTTATAACATATAATTGAAAACAAATGGAAGTTATACAAAATGTTGCCAACAAAAAACTTATTTAGAAGTCAATGCAATATCGGTATATATATATATATACACTTAGTGCTTTGATTACTCTATATAGGAAGAACATTTTTGGATCACTCGAGAACCCACAGCTCCAGCATCTAGCCGTCTGCTTAACAATTACAAAAGTTTGCGAACCACATCAACTAATGTTCATGCATGAGAAGTTTTACATAAAAGAAATCTTTTTTTTGTCCTAAACAGAGATTACTTAAAACTGAACACTTATTTCTTTTACAAATTTGAAATTAATTTAGATTAATTAAGAGAAGAAATGATTACATTTAAGGGTTTTCGAACGTAGACACAAATATTTGTATTT